CTAATACTATCATTGATAAAAATCAATTTAGTATTGAATTAAATATGTTCTTGTGCACTAGTAAATGAAAAGTCTTTCAATATGTTGATAAACGAAGCAATAGAAGATGTTCTTTATAAACAAGAGCACGAAAGGTAACTAAAGCTAGATTACATTTTAAAAAGTTGATCTATATTTTTAGATATCTACGAATATTTATTTGTTTTGATTTCAAAATAATACCTTGTTGAAACACGCCTAAATTTATCACCGGAAAACTTGTTTAAATTGTATTCTTATCGAAACTTTTGTTATTTAACAAACAAAGCAATGCATAATTTATGTCTTGTATAGAGATCCGATGCTAACACATGACAAATGAGATTACATCTCGTTGAAAATCACCAAGATAGGATATATTTCCATTCTACACTTCACATCTGTACGTGTCTTAGATAAATTATTTTATCATATTTTTATTAAGAACTAATTCCCTTTTTGTTTCTAATTGTTATTACCATTTTCTCGTTTGTTTTTGTTTCATATTAAACAGAAGATGTGGGTGGATAGACGTTTGTATGCCTATGTGAAAATGATGAGACGCACCCACACTCTCAATCAAAAATGATATGTTATTCTCTTTCAATTTAGGATATAAGTTTCGCATGTATATGTTCATTTGTTCTTGGCATTATACGAGTATTGATGTCTGAACGAAAAAGCACGTCTGATATAATATAGATTAGATTGAGATATGATCAACCGTCGGAAGAGTTGCAAACGCATTTCTACTAGGGATGTACAAGTACGATCCCACCCGACAATGTAATGTTATGGTTTCAACGTTGAGAAACAAGATACGGTTTTGAACTAAATGAATAACTCGGATAGGCACTAATAGAAACCAAAAAAAGTAGGCACATGAATGATGCTAGAAATTAGCAATGTCTATCGCGGCAGCTTCTTTTTTAAGAGAAACTGCAAAATTTCACGAATTTACGGCAAATCCTTAGAAGCTATGAAAATCTTTGCTATAAGTGAACGTTAAAAAGTGACGAATCAAATTTTTTCAAGTTTTATGTCGTATATTATATTTCTTTTCCTTTTTTGAATTCGATCACATGTATACATTTGTATTAATCAATTTTGACTGAAAGAATATATGAACATCTAGTTTATTTTTGCAAAGAAACATTAACATGATGATATATAAAGTTAAATGGTTCCACGATATTTCCGCGCGTGACATTTGCGCGCCGACACTTCCGCGCACGACAATTTCGCGCAACGACATTTCCGCACACAACACCACCGTGCGCGACACTTCCGCGCTAAATGAAGTTTTCTGTTTTCCTGCATTAAGTTAATACATCTTCTAAAATTTTATTAACTGTTCTGTTGGTGCGGGTGCAGAGTTTCGGTGTGAGTGTGGGAGTAGAAGGAAGGCAACAGGAACCCTAATACCAACAACCACAACCGAACACTCAAATTCACCCAAGAAATCATAGCCGAACCCCAGATCCACATAGGAGCGCACACCGACACCAACCTACACGCGCACTTTACAGCCCAAGTCCACACCCACAGCAGCACCGATACCTGGAATTCCAGAGGCATTACCTAGCATGCCAGTAGCATTACATGAGATGCTAGTAGCATCATTGAAATGCTAGATGCATCGCCTGAGTTCATAGAGATATTACCTGGAATGATAGAAGCATCATTATGATGCTAGAGACATCATCTAGGCTGCTAAGCGCATCACCCGAGATGCTGGTTATATTATATGTGATGCTAGAAGCGTCACATAGAAACCGAGGAGCATCACTTACGATGCTGCGAACAACCCAAGTGGTACCTGTGGTATCCGAGGTTATGTCTATAGTAACCCAGGTGAGGCTTCCAACACTCTAGTAATGCTTCTAGCATGCCAGATAATACTACTAGCAACCTGCGTGATGTCTCTAGCAACCTGCGTGATGTCTCTAGCATCCCAGATGTCAATGTCAGCATGCTAGTTTTCCATAAAAAACAATCTATCTTTCAGAACAGATGAGGTCCATCAGAGGACTTCCTCAGTGAGGTGTTGATCTGAACAGAACTACTTGAGCAGTTTCCCTAAGGTCGGAAGAACTCTTCGAACAGTTCATTACATCTGAGCTGAACAGTCGAAAAAGATCAGATCAGATCACTTTTACAAGCTGTTCATCAGTTCCGAACTTCTACTGGATTGCCCTACGCATGCTCCGCATGCACACACATTCCGTGCTGGAGCCAAGTTTCACAGATCTATTCATGGAAGTTTAGAAGTTGCATTAACCTAATGCAGGAAAAACAGAAAACTTCATTTAGCGCGGAAGTGTCGCGCGCGAAAATGTCGCCGCGCGGAAATGTCGCTGCGCGGAATTGTCGTGCGCGGAAGTGCCGTGCGCGCAACTGTCGTGTCACGAGTTAAATTAACATTATCAGTTAATTACTTTGTTTCTATTTCCAATGATCATGCTTAGATTTTCTAAATGATCCATTCAATTAACATAAAGAATATATTATTCGTACATGTAAGGTGATGAAAAAAAGTTGAACAATAATGTATTTGGAATATTTTTTTTCCTGTGATGTTAACGATCTAACTCAAATTCAAATAGTAATTTTTGTTCATCAGTGGAGTTTTCTATATGATACATTCGAACGATATCAAGATTTTATAAATGAAGTATGATAACAAGATGTCGAAGAAACTGAGCATAGAAGGTTTTAGGTCTTAGAAGATCTTGTCGACCCTATTTTGTTAATATAGGATCATCTTAAAGACTTTGAAATTCTTAACAAAATCTCGACTTGGCGCATTTTATATAACATTTCTTTAAAAAGTTAGAAGTACCCCAAAAACCGTTTAAAAAAGAGAAAGACCATAAAAAATGTGATGACCCATCACTTTGTCTAAATTTTTATCTTCTTTAAGATCACACTGTTCAAAATGACTTCGAAAAGACCTCCTGAAATTTGAGTACTTCTGTGTTGGTGATAAAAAGTAAATTTCAAATGTAAGATATTTGTCAAGTCACATTAAGCAAACAAAAACGGAAAGCATTTCATCCTCTTTTGTATTAAACATAGAAGAGAAAAAGTATTTATAGTTCAATACTATCCATCTGGAAAGCTCGAACTCGTTATCACTTTGAAGATTTCCTATAAAAACAAGTCATTTGTTTATTACAAGTGCTCGATATTTTCTATTTTTTCATTTGACTATTTGTAGAATAAAACAAAGAATAGACAAAGAATGTTAACAAATAACTGAAAAAAAAATTGTTATCACTTATTAAACAACACTTTTTATGCATTCGAAATCGTCTTTCGATGTATTTCTATTTCAGTAAAAATTAACATTTCTTATTCTTTTTTTTTTTTCTTATTGAACTAAACACAGCTCTGTTCATTAGGAAATTACCGTTCATATTTGAGGGTGTAGGTATGGGTGTGGGTTAGGTGTGGATGTGGGTGTAAATGAACACAAAGAGGAGGCTAACACTCACACTCACCCACACCCCACCCTAATTATTGAAAATCGCTATCCAAGATTGAAATGATGATTGAATTTCGATTGAAATCAATCTGTTAGTGTTCAGAAATTTCAAATAGAGATGCATCAGTGTCGGTGCTAGACTTAGAGTTAGTCGGAATTGTAATTGGCAGGATTCGCTCTGGACTTGGGTTGACTTTTCCAGTACTGGTTAAAAATTGGCCTTACATAAGTTACCAGCGAATGAAAAACGAAAAATTTTAGGTTTGATTCTTGCGTCAATATATGGCTTTTTTGAGGATATCAAGGTTTTCTAGGTTGACGAATAATGAATCTATAATTAGTTGTTCAAAATCCTGTACTTAATTTCTCGGTCAAGTAAAGCTTACCCCGAAAACATGGTCAAACTATGAAAAATTCTTATTTTCCTAAAAAACCTGTCCTTTGACGAAACAATCAAACCCAAAGTTTGCCGTTATTCAATAAGTGGAAAAGTAGCTGCCTACGTAACGATAACTTTGCCTCGGCATCTCTACTGAGTTGGATAGAAGAACGATCTTCTCGAAGGGATGTTTACTTTTCTAAAGTAATCTTGACTGAAGTAATTGAACTTATCTCTCACAGGATCATACGCATAATAGATATTGAACATAGAAAGCGATGACATTTGAAACATCAATGAGATACTCATCGATCATTGTGTTTATTTCGTTCAATTTCCTATTGGAGAAACACGAAGGAAATAGTCATTGTAATATTTTGAATAGTCATATTTCTTTTCTTCTCGTTCACTTTTGGAAAATAGAATGAAAAATAAGTATGATAAAATCTAATAAAAATAGAGAAACGAATATTGTCAAAAATTAATCTTAGAGCTTTGCATATTTTTACAGTCTTTTGAGAGGAATTTCATCTTAAAATGAACCGATTTTTGAAATTGTTTTGTTTAGCGTACTAAAAGTCATTAAAAATCGAATATTGCTGCACGATTCTCTGTTTCCATCTATTTCGAATAAAATTGTTTTTCTATATCGATCAATAAGATTTCTCAAGGTTTTGTTCATCTCTTTCAATTTGGCCATGTGTTACGTCGATCTAAGTATTTTTTAATAATTAGAAATGTAAAACATTTATCTAATATTCCACTATCGTAAATGGCTATTTTTGCATCGTGATGATATTGAAGAGTCATTCCTAAGTGCTTTGAGAAATTTCACTGAATAATCGTAGAAGAAAATCTTGAGTGCTCAATGTATTATTCGATTGAAGTTTCATAATGAAATTCTCTATCGTGAGAAGTTTTGCAATGAAATATAATTTGAATAGTAGGAAAATTCCTTTTGATCATTCGAGAAAATAAAATGAAGCAAAGTTTCTTCGATTCTTTCCATTTCAACTAGAATACATGACTTATCATGTTAACACGAATTTTGTTGATGAAAGATGTTAAATCATATTCAAGTGTGAAATCTGATGGCTTATTGAGAAGATCTTTTAATCATTTAAGTTCTTCATTGAAAACCTGAATTTCTTGATCAGCAAAATCATTGTCTTTACGACATTGAATAATTTTTTGTGTCAATTGTTTCAATTTAAAATCGAGATTGGTAGCAAATGTGACTATGTATGATGATAGTTCACGACGAACTTCATCTGCTACTTGTCGAATTTTTTCGATCGACTCACGTTCCCATTTATCGATTTGTTTCATTAATTCAGGTTTTTGTGGATTAGATTTTTGTTCATCCATTTCAAGTTTTAAATCATTAAATTGATCTTCAATTGTACCTAATTGTTGGCTCAATTCATTACGATGTTCGCTGATGTGATTAAGGCCAAAATCTTTCGAACATCCACTACATTTAACAGTAATTTTTGATTTTTTGCATATAACACCCGATGTTTTGCCAGTTGTTGTCGCCATCTGAAAGTCTATTTTGGAAAAAAAGAACGAATGAAAGAGTTTTGATAAAATATGATAACAATACTATTTGAGTTTGCTCTTTATTTTGTCAACATAAGAGTTCTTTCACCATTAAGTTGTTTCGTTTTGTTGTGGAATTTCATCATGGGCGAATTCACAGCTAATGACAATCAAAGTTTCAAAACTTAACATCGAAAAAAAGAAAGTTTGTACATTAGTTGAATTTATGTTTTTCTAAAAACTTAGGAATAACTCTAACAATACACGAATATATAATGAATTCTAAAGGTAAAGAATATAGATAAAACATGCGGCCAACGAGAATAAAGTTAGCATTTGAAATCTTTGACTTTCATTGAAAGATATCTGTTTGTATTTATATATCAATCGCTCAGCTATTTGTGTTTTTCTCATTTGCAAAATGATTTGATTGATGATCTGTTCAGATAAAAATTATTAAAAAAAACCTGTAAAAGTGTGCCGATTTAAGGTGATTCCATTTTCCTTCAAGAAGTTTAACGTGTTTTTTTTTACAAATTCAGTTTTTAAATTGAGCTTATCCCTAAAGGAAAAAAATCATATTTCATATGTTTGAATTGCTTGAGTTAGAGACGAGATAAATTAGTTATTTCAATTTGGTTATCATTTTCAAAGTAATGACTTATTGGTTTTATTTTAATCCATCAGAATCTAATCATATTAAATATATAATTTTTTTTTAACATTAATTTTGAAATAAATTCCGATAGATTAAAATCAAGTTCATTAATCATTTGTTTCAAGATGAGGATGAGATTTACATAACTAGATATCCATCTAAATTACATTTTAAGTAAGTCAGGAGGTAGATGTAAGTGGGTGGGTGTGGTGTTTATTTCAAACTTACCAATAATTAATTTGGTTTATATTGTACAAATATCAAAACAAATTAACTAAGCACGTTTTTCTACATTAGTTCTATCATTTACACAGAAAATGCTTTCTTTTACAATTTTTACTTAAATGTTATTACTATCAATATAGATAATAGAGCTTGTGAAATATGAAATTTACTATAGATTCATCTTTGTAAACTATTTTACTATGTTTATTGAAATTCTCATTATTTAAATAGTATAGTTAAGTCATCAAATAACAATAGCTTGTTTATTTAATCAAAAGATATTATGAATATGTATATTGATGTCAACACTAAAGTAGAAACAAAAAATACTAAGTATGTTTAATATATAATCGAGATTCGAAGGATAATAAGTCTAGTGTTAAATTAGTAACCTGTGTTTAAATGCATTTAAAAGATAAACATTAAAATTTTGTTCAAGTAAATCTCATGGCATTGAAAACATGTTCTAAAAGCCAAAAAAAACAAAGAAACTAAATAGAAATATAATTTTATATTTACTTTGCTATATGATTATTTTCTGATTCTTTATCTTCACTAAGTTCTCCTCCTGGCGAAATCATTCGAATTCCAAGGGTGCGTGGGTGTCGATTATCTAGAGACCCACATCCATCCCTCCAGAACAAGCACTCAGAAAGGTTTAAATTACTATACTACTGAGTCCAACGCTGGTGTTTGTTTTTAGGTTCGAAATGAAGGCTTCTTTTTTCTACATATTTCGAAATCCTACAATCAGTCTCCATCTAAAGAAAAAAGTCGACATTGGAGCAATATTGATATAACATAGTAAGATAATTTTCGGGTGTGGGTGCGGATGTGTGGCTATTGAGAGAAGGCAATATCAACACACTATCCACTCTACTTAATCATTATTAGAGAAATATTTTTCATTCAATTTTTTGCTATCACTATCCACAGGTAAATTTTTCAAAAATATTGATTTTTTGACAACGATTATTTTCATTTCGATGATATATTAATTGGACTTGGGGCTAACAATCACAGAGATCAGATAAGTCTTTATTAAAAAAACAAAATGTCATGCGTACATAAAAAGTAAAAACGGTTGAGTATATGTGGGTGCAAAGGTGCTCTGTCTCTTCACAGACCCCACACTACACACACATACATGTTAGAAATTTCATTTACGCATATTTATTCTATTCTCAGATAGAAGCTAGTCCATCAGATATTCTATGATCGTGTTGATAGTGGCAGAATTCTATCGGAAGTAACCGAGAATTTAGGCATTAGAAGTGAGATAGTCGCATTCGATTGGGTACTAGGAACGTCTGACAGAATTTCATTGGTTTTCATCGAATTCAGACACAATCCGATGAAATCTAAATCGGAATCCTGGTCATTGTATTGTTTAACCTGGATTTCATTGAGCCTTTGCTTCCAAAAAAGTAGAAGAGGATGATTCGAAGGCAATGAAGCTTCTCCGATTTTAACTGCTTGCTTCTGATATTTAACTGCTTTCGGGTATGTTCTCATTTTATAACAAACTTCAGCAATGTTATTGTAAGAATCAGCTAATTTCGGCTGATTCAAATGTTGTATTTGTTGTCGAATTTCACATCCTTTTTTCAAGAATGAAAGCGCTTTTGAATAGTCGTTCATTTTATTGTATACCAAACCGAGGTTATTGTAAGAATCAGCTAAATTCGGATGATTCGATATTTGTATTTGTTGTCGAATATCAAGTCCTTTTTCCAAGAATGAAAGTGCTTTTGAGTAATATCCCATATTATTGTATATCAAACCAAAGTTATCATAAGAATCAGCTAAATCAAGATGGTTTGGTAGTAGCACTATACTTCGAATTTCCAGTGATTTTTCTTGAAATTGAAGCGCTTTAGAATATTTTCCTGCATTGTTTAACACTACACCAATGTCACTAAAAGAGGTAGCCAAATCTGGATGGTTTCGAGGGAGTATTTTCAGACGTATTTCACATGCTTTATCATGGAATGAAAGTGCTTTTTCATACTCTTCTAAATTACAATACACCGAACCAATTTTACTGTAAGAATCAGCCAAATCGGCATGGTTGGGAGGGAATATGTTGTGACGAACTGCTAATCCGTTTTCATAACATGAAATTGCTTTTGAATATTCGCCAAGATTAGCATATACGAGACCGAGGTTTGTGTAAGATGAAGCTAAATGAGGATCGTTGATAGCGGATTTCTTTTCGTATACTTGTATTGATTTTTGAAAATAAGAGATCGCTCCTGTGTAGTCACCCAGCTCGATTTTTATCATTCCAAGTTGATAATAAAAATTCCACATTTCAAAGTCATCACTAGTTTGTTTCAAAGGCATCATGCACAAATAAAATGCCTTTTCAAAACTGCATATTTTTCTTAGCAAATTATTCAATCGGTGATATTCTGTTGGTCCTTGGATTTCGTTTCCCATGGATTTAGTGAGAGAGCTCCAATAGCCATCGTTATGTTCCATCATTGTAAGTTGTACTTGCCAAAATCGAGATCCTTTGCCTATTTGTTGAATTCGTTCAATTCGAAAGACGCTGTGCATACTAAATAGTACTAATTCTTGACCTGAATGATATTGTAAATCTCGAATATTTGCAAATGGAGTCGATGAAATCGATAGATCGACAGTGATCACAAATAACACTCCAATAGATTCTTGGTTCTCGGCTGCCTGTCTAGCATAGGCAATAGAAATAAGACGATCTGGACTAGCTGATAAAAAATGGTTGAACGAAAACAGACTGCCAACATGCGATTTTAATTTTTGTAAATCACTTTGTGGTAGTCCTTGGCCACGGTAGACAGTCAATAATTTTCCTTTACCTTTCTTGAACTGTTTGGAGTGAAGTTTTTCTAATTGTTCATGAAGATCGCGAATAAAGAAGCCCAACTTGATGATCGCTTCAAAATCTAGAGTTTTCAAGGAGCGTTCAAGCACTGAGTACAGAAAATGCGGTGCTGTATACCACCAAATGGGTGAATGTTCATGATATTCTTGTTGAAACTGTTCGATGTCACGTTTTGGGAATTCGTTACCATGCGAATCACGACAATAGGCGACAAATTCTTGAATTGATCGTTTATCATGTTTCATAGCAATAAGAATTTCTTTTAGTAGAAATGTGTACATGTAACTTTGATCGATCAAATCCATGTTTTGATCTATCGCATTATTATTCAGAGTAATCGAGGTATCGATAGACTCGTTTTCGATATTTTTCGCATCGATTTTGATTAATTCACAAATCGCTTCGAAATCTGCTTCAATACCTTTAATTTTGGACCAGTTCTTTGTCCACTGTTCATGCTTTGTCGTGTCTCGACAGAATATGAATATTGAATAGATTTGTGGCAAATGATGAATGTGAACAACTATACTTTCACCAAGTGATAGAGTTGTCACCAGCAATATTTTTGTGTTTTTTACTTTATTTAAAAAGTTGACGCATGTTGCAATATCAGTGAAAATTTTCACATCATTGACAATACTCTGTATTTGACTAATTGATTCAGAATAATATTGATGTGATTCGTTGATTTCTGAATCAAGCCAGATAACAAGAAGATCTAAAACGATACAGAACTCAACGAATTAGAATAAAAGAAAAATGCCAAAGTCATTTAGAAATGTGTTGTTTAATTTCATAATTCTATTGTGTTCTAGAGTCGAAATTCTACTTCCTTATTATGAACTCCTGCAAATATAACTCTGTCCATAAAAATTATATTTTAATATCCTCAAAAAATAGACACTTTCAAAATTTGGATGCCTTTTTTGATTTTCATAGAATCCATATTCAAAAGAATTTTGAAAGTTTCTATTGCTGGAACGAAAATGACATTGTTATCTACTTTGATGATGAGAACACGTATTTTTGATAGATATATATATATATTAGTCTTACCTGGTTTTGACGTTATGCTAATCGTATCCGTGACTGCTGGTAATGTTTCATTATTGTTGTCCGTTATTTCTACTAGATGTACAACTTTTAGACCATCATTAAATTTTAAATCATTACTTTCCACACTTAATCGAGTGCCTGGGCCGAGCAATACTTCATTTTTATCTGGATATTTTGTATAGCCACTCAAATTTCTACCGTTTACGGCTTCAATCATGAAGAATATAGCATTTGTATCGTTGCCGAGAAGTTTTTTGATGACATTACGTGTGGTTGAGCAAGAACTCACACTTCGCCAAATTATTTCACTACCTTTAATAAAATTTTTGTTGACGCCATCCTTCGTACCACACCAAAGACGTTTTTTTTCTCTGGGCAATTTTGTAAGTGCAATTTCGAATAATTTGAGATAATTACCCCATGGTGACAATGCAGATGGATTTTCGGATCTCAGATCCTTATTCAACAATCGATATAAACTATGAGCACCCCACTCCATGGTATAAAGATAAATCGAGGCTGATTCGTCATGTGTAAGGTTGTGTTCGGATGGAAAATGGCATTTTTCTAAAGCTTCCTTGATATATTGACGCAAATGATCAATACGAGGCACAATAGGTTCAAGAGCATGTTCAAGTGAAAGTAATGATTGACGTCTATAACCATAGTTTAGTGAAATTCTCTTGTCATTAAGATCAATGTCGAGAAATCGACTCATCGCGAGTTTTATATCTTAGAATAAACAATTTCACTATTAATGTTTTCAAAATGGCATACGAAAATTCACAAAACAATCGTCTTTTTAGGATGACGTGATTTTGACTTGATGATGTTAAAAGTGAATTATTAAATCGTTTAATCTATTGACTGAATCAGTTTGGTTCCGAGACACAATAATTAATCAGTGAAGGTTAAAAAAACCACTTTGATGATTATTATGAAATTTGATGACTTTTGCTGTATACTATGAATCGATAGTAACGTTTTTGATGAACTATAACATGGACAATAACGATCAGGTCGAAAGTTTTCTAACGAGACTCTTTATTGATTTATACTTTATCTATAATATTCAACAACAATCAATAACAAGTAACTTAATAAAAGAAAAAGGAAGCCTAGACTGTTTTCGAAAACAAATTTTTTAATGGTTATTAATCTATTGAGTTATAAAATTCAAGTTACAATAGTGATGAACAGATTGCCAAAGTTTTCCCATGGGAAAAACCAATTCTCAGAAATTTCATCTTCATAGAAAGAAAATTTCGAAACTCGTCAATTCTTTAAAAGAGAAATTTCCATTATTAATGTTAAAATTTTGAAGCTATTGTAGAATTTTGCGAAAGCAATTTATTTTTTTTTTTAAATAATAGAGTGTTTGTAGTTAATCGCAAATGAATAGTTTTTTCGAATTCTTTTGCAACACTTAAGACATGCATTTTATTCTGATTCCGATCAATTTGCACTTCCAATACTCGATTTTGGCTGAAATTGAAACCGAATTAGAATTTACCTATGTTGATCTTACTGATTAAATCACCGTGAAATTCATTTTAGCTGAATTGCTTATATGCTATTTTAGCGAAGGTCTAGGTGTCAAGAAGGATCTTTCTTTCATCCACACGTACAAAAAAATGCTGTAACCACTGATACCTATGCTCACACTCAATCACAGATAATCTCTAACTTATCTTAGAAATACTTACAGATAAATACTAGATTGAAAAGAAAAGAAAAGATAGAAAACTGAATCAAGAAGATTACTAGCTAAAAAGAAACATGTATGAGATCATCATTAGAATCGATTTCATGTCTATCTCCATTGCGTCTAATGTCTAAATCATATCGATGCTACGTGCGCATTATCGAATATCTTGTTTCTGCTTTTAAAATCATTCTAATAAGTTACTCACCACAATAAAATGAATAAGATCGAATATAAGAAGAAAATTTTATATTGTGGTTGTGTTGATTAGGCTTGTAGGTGAATTGGTAACACTGTTCGCTTGATTTATCAAATGATTTTTCGTTTTTACCTTACCACCGAGGCAACTTTACACGCTTTCTATTGTTTGTTATTTTGCCTAGCTTTTTTTTCTTTTGATCGATTTTTTTTAACAATACCTCTATCGCAAAGGCTCTACACAAGATGTGCACGTTGTCCATATAATGATCTGCATGAGTGATTTGTAAGCAATGAATCTTGCAAACGAAATAAAAACAAAACATTTATATTTCAATAGATATTACAAAGCAAGAGAAAGAAAGAAAAAACTGCACTATTGTTATATTTTGAAACTCGTCTTTTATGATATCAGTGTATGTCGATAAACAAAAAGCTATACAATAAAAAAATTTCAATGGCTATTCTCATATACAGTTGATAATCGAGCAATTTCAATTGTGCATACTCATTTTCATATACTTGAAATATTTTGTTTTTGAAGCAAAGCTAGTTTAATATTATGAAGACATCAAATGGATTGAATGCATACAAAGCACAATATATAATCTAATTTCTACAATAAATGAATATATGTTTATACACTAACACTTTCATGCATTCAAGAAAGCCACTTTGGGTAAAATAAATGACTTCAAATTTAGTAGAAATGTTATGATACAAGGATTTAAAAAGGTTTTATCCATGTCTTTCAGTACAAGAATGGTATTGACTCATGAGAGAAAACTTAATGAGGATATGGGTGTCAGTATTTCTATGACCTATTGAGATGCCACATTCATTTCCATTCTCTTTCTTGTTTTAATAAACGATTTGCTCAAGGGTGTGTGTGAACACAAGATCCACACCCACTGTAATGCCCTGCTTTGTTTTTCTTGTTTCATAAGATTTAATAAAATAGAATTCTTTTCTAAGAAAAAGTTTGATGTGTGTTGGTAGTCTTCAGATTTCAAGGTGCACTTGTGCTCAGTCTCATTTATCTTGATAAAAACAGTTTATCTCATGATTGGAACAATTTATTTGATTCTAACGAGTAATTAAGTTTCATCTGTTCACTACACGTGCTGTGTGTTTCTTAACGTTGCTTCAAACAAGCTAGAAAGAGTTCTAATTATAACAAAAACCGTACTTATTTAGAAGACAATCGTCTCAACTGGTCTTGTGCCACTCTCAATAAAGAATGTGAGAGTTTCGAAACAAAGCAACCACGACGTAGCAGAATTAGGCACCGTTGGAAAATAGCATGAGTGTCGAGATGGATAAAGAGAGAACGACCACAACACTCACAACCTCAATATTTCGTGTATACTGACTATTGAAATATTATCATGGGCGGCGCAAGGTCAGTTTTGTAGGGGTAGCAATAAACTGTTAAATGAGCTCTGCTTTCTTTCCCTTGCTCAGTCCGATGCAAAAAAGTTTTTTCATGAGAACTGAACTTCTTGATTATACTGTATGCAAAGCTCGAGCATTAACTCCTCTAGTAGTGCATTAAACCCGCTTTAATTAGGATATGCACTTTTTATTGAGTACGTTTACTTCTTCAATTTTAGTCTTCAATCACTATTAGATGTTCACAAATGTTTATTATTAATAGGAAAAAATACATTCTTATTCGAGAATGATATACAATTATTTTGTTCATTTTCAAAAAAAATTTTTTCTTTTATCTTTTTTCGATAGAAAAGCAGTTACAATAGCATCAATATCAATTTCATAATCTCGTTCAAACGAGTGTTCCATATAAATGGCCGGTTTTTGTATTTCAGATTTTAATCTTTAAAAATTTTTATTAAAAAACCGAGTATACCACAAGATGCAGCATGAAAAGCTCTACAATTCACAAAGCAAGACTGATTTAGGTTGTTTAATTTTGATTTTGAAAAAGACCAGATGCTATACGACCACTTTTCGAAGGTGTCAAAAAACCATTCCTTCGCTCTTATTTTATCTGTGTATCTCTTAATATGTTTTCTTTAAAAAAGTATAATACACCAGAAGGTGCAGCGTGAAAAGATCTACAATGCGCAAAGTAAAGCATATTTTGGTTGTGTAATTTTTTTTTTCAAAAAAAAAGTAAAATTCCGTGAGAATAATATCCATTATACCTAAACGATCATTTTTCTATTCCAATGAGCAAATCATTTTTTTCTTATTTCATCCTTTTATCACCTAATGGGTTTTATCGCATATACCTCAAGATGTAGCGTAAAAAGTTCTACAGTGTACAAAGTAAAGCTTTTCTAATGGTATACTTTGTTTTGAAAAGAAACAAAATTCTGTGAGACCGTTATGCACAGCGTCGAAAATTGATTGCGCAGAATTCCATTTATTTTGAAAATACCAAGTATACAATTAAAATAAGCTTTCCTTTGTAGCTGCAGAGATCTTTACGCTGCATCTAATTCTAATTTCTGTGCTTTTTTAAACTGTATTTAAAGATTAAAATATGAAATAGAAAAATTGACCATTTATTATGGGACACTCGATATATGTTGTGGGAAACAGGGTGTGGGTGTGTGGGTGTAGATGAAAAGGATAGTCACACTACCATCAGACCCACACCCATGCCCACACACTCAGGTAAGAAGCACTTCGAATTTCGGATTTCTGACATTGCACAGATAGCAATAATTCTTCATACATATATAATGAATGAAAATTTACTATTATTATCGAAATTTGGTTTTGCATTTCCATCGAATCTTGCTCTGATTATCAAGGAAGAACAAACATCTTAATTCAATCTGTTCATATTGAGAAATCGTTAGTAAACTATGTCATGTTTCATCAAGCGTTTTGTTTAAATATCGACATTTAGCATGTGATACACTTGAGCTTTGCCTATCGTATCTATATCAAGCATCAATTGTCATTTCCTGATTGCAAAGTTTTGTTCTATTTTCTGTACAAATCTTTGATGAGGAAAAAACTTTAATCTTTTATTAACAAAAAACTTGTCAGCAATACTACAATAATGGTTTACCATTATAAGTACTAGCAAGCATTGATCATTACTAAGATTAGCGCCTTAAATCTATAGATTACTTATATTATTCGGATTTTACTTTAGACCAACGAAGCATCATATCGGCAGAATCGGATAAAATTCGTATCATATAGAGATCTCAAACGATGTTTCAACAAACATCAGACAATGTGCCATTCTCGCAATCATTGGTTCATAAAATATGAACCTCAGATACGAAAAACAAATCTTGATTGATCTCCACTAGTTGCTCAATATCGATACACCTTTTCAAAGTATTAAAGTGCACACATAGTCAAGGTATGAAAGAAGTACTATGCTCTATCTGTGAAAAAAAAGATAGACTTCTGGTATTTTCCATTTAAGCAATATAGATCTCAACATTTATGTATTGTAGGTTACGTATTTTCAATTCTGAAATTTTGATGAAAATTTACTCAAAAAAAGAGATGCTTCATTGAATACTTATACAGACAAACAAAAAAAAAGAAACATCACTTAAAAAATCATATGCTGATATTAACTTTGATAACTTCAAGAGCTTTTTTTTGATTTATTAAAAACTAGTTTACGTATAAGCATCAGTACTACAATGAAAATAATCACTTCCATTCTATATAGACATTATCGAGTACACGTTTTATTCTATAACTCAATAGAAGCTTTTCAACAATAATCATTTTTTCTAATTTTTTAATGATATCATCATTATCTGTTGTTGGAATGCGAAAACATAATAAACGAAGATGATCGTTACGATCATAAT